TATAAAGGATGTGTTTACACTGGTGTAGCTCCCTGCTTTGCCTGCAGCTATTACTATTGGATAAATCTTTTTGACTCTGTAGAAACAATTGAAGAGTGTTATGGTGTATTATTGCTGAAAGGACAATGTCATGGTTGTTTAGAAAAGGCCCCTTGCTTTAGGATGCAGATGAATTGTGGTACTGGAGGTTGAAAGCACAGTTATTTTTGTGTTCACTGTGGCTAGAAAAATGACATGCTGAAAACAGAATAAATACATTATAACAGTTTTTGTGTTCTATATGAAGACGGAAGCTTTGCTAATTTTTTTGAATGAAAAAGCAAAATGTATTGCATGATACACTTGGTAGTGTTTCACAAATATTTTTTATTACTTTGACATATACACACAAATGAATACATACCACTTTGTCTATATCCATAAAAAAAAGATAATTAAGGCCAAAAAATAAGGTATTTTTAAAGGAAGTTGAGCAAACGTTTGTGTGTGTGCACAAATATATTTGAATTTTTATCTTAATTTGTCCCTAGCTTTGACTGGTTCAATGTTATATTGGAAGGGGCACAGGTTTTTGTTTTTTGTTTTTTGTTTTTTTTACTTTTTTGGTTGGTTCTGGTAGAATAATTTATTATAGAAAAAGACAAAGGGACAAAATAGATAGTGTATGTCGATTGTCCTTGTGAAACAAGATGGGTTTCTGGACAATGAGATTGCTGTGTAGTTAAACACATGTGGTTGAAAGAGAAGTCTTGAAAATGTTCTCTGGCAGTGAGGAAGATAACACACTCACATGTTACATTAATTCTCTGAGCTTTTATTTTAAATAACGGTGGCTTTATCACAATACAAGCTTGCTTTCTTTTCTGTAAAAATTTATGAATTTCCTATGAGGCACAAAACAAGAGAACCAGAAGGCTGTATCATGGCCACTTGGCCAGTAGAGAGAGCACAGATGTAAAGGAAGGATGGGTAGAAGGGATTAGAGTAATCAGTATCTGATACAAAGCAGGCTCTAACTGCTGTCACAACCGTGATTCATGTTCTGGTTAAAAAATAATGTGTGTGTGCTTATATCACTGGTTCTTAACATCAAAACCTAGCAGTGACTGAATCTGTCGTTCCTGAAGCCTCAAATGACAGATAAAAATGGAAGATTCAATACAGTTGACACAGAGTCAAAACCTTCCACACCTCCATTCAGAACCACGATGAGGCCTTGGTCCAAATTAGACCACTTGGCAGGGTTCTGAGAAAAGCATGGAGGATTCATTTTCTCATGGGGCTCACCTAAAATCATCTGTGGTTCTGGCTTAATGGAATTAATGAACAAAAGAAACCAGGATATATATGTCTGTGTTTCCAACATGAATCAAGACTTTTTATCTCAAGTTCTCTATGCATGCTACCAGACACTATTGCATCCATGTTTTGGATTAAAAGAGAATAAAGTTTAAATACCTTAATTTATAAAAATATAATATTTAAGAAATATTTAGCTCTTTCCAAACACATATTGAAAATGCTCTGAAGAATAAACTCTTTCCACAGTCCAAAGAGGTTGGCATTGCCTCTTTTATTTTATCTTACCCTCTGATGTTTACACAATGTAATCCAGAAGAAAAACGAAATACCTACCTACAAAAATTTGATGTGTGTCTTTGTCTTTCTCCTTAGTCAAAGACTTAATGTTTTATTGCTTTAGCAGAAAATGAAAACTCTTTACCACAGTTCCTCCACCTAGAGAATAGAAAGGTTTTATGGGGATTACCAAATACCACCTGTAAAATATAATTCAGTCAATATTTATTAAATACCTATTGATGATCAGGCACTTTGCTAGGTACTGGGGATTAGGAAAAAAAAAAAAAAAAAGAGGGACAGAGGTTCCTAGACCAGCAGGGTAGATAGGTTTTCATTCTACAAACACAATTTGATAAATGCAATAGGAACATATGGAAACAATGAGAACACAGGTGAAAAGTCAGTCATTTTAGGGCAATACCTAAAATATTTCTGGCCTACCGCCCACCTAAATGTGCAATTGATTTCCATCAGTAAGTTCCCCCTTATATGCAGCGTAAATCTTTTAGTAACTGGGGAGAATATAGTCATCATTTAACCACAGGTATCATGGCTGGACATCATCTAACATGGGGGTCAGGTGTTATCAAAGGAAAAGGAATAAGGTAGTTGGTCACCATCGTTGCTTTTTACACAGGTGCTACCTGCTTAGGGCTCAGTGTCTATCATCTTCCTATGTCTCAAGTTCTGTACACTCTAATATCTCTTAGGGATTTATTTTTCCTGAGGCTCTTTCTTGGGCCACTGCTCCTGACAGAAGGGCTAACCTCAAGTCTCCAACTGTATATAGCGGCTCATGGATCATTCGTGAGAATTAAAGGGGTTCTTTCACCTAGAGCTGTATGGCACCAGATCATTCTCTTTCTTGCTATGAAGATTCTTTTCGTTGATATTTGGATATTTCTGTTGATACTAACTTTTATAGGCATTTTGCACAACTTTACACATCTGGGAAATTTTGCTGGTTTTCCCATTTTATAAAAACTTTAAAAGAGTCGCTAATTGAATATGAGCCAAAAAATGAATTTTGTAAATCCACGTGATATAAGGAAATATGCTTTCCAATAAGAAATATTAGAATATGAAGTTTTGTGGGTGGGAGAGTTTTTACTCTATAAACCATTTTAAGCAAAAATGTTAAGAAATTGACAGACCCGCTACACGAATGCTGTATGTAAAACATATTAATAACAACACCGATTTTCCCAGTACGTTTTATGATTTCATAATAATTATTAATATAATGTGAGTTCTTAAATAGTAAAATATTAACACTACAGCAGTGCTAGGAAGAAAGGGCTCAGTGAGCACACAAGGGAAAGGAATTAATTCCAATCTGGCCATCCTGAAAGCCACACGATGGAAATCGCATTTCATCCGGAAGTTAAAGGACAGGTAATACCGAGAGAGAACAGTCCAGGTGTGAACAAAGGTAGAATGGAGAGGAAAGTAAGGGTGGTAGAGAAAAAGAGAACACATGGCAAAGCTAAAATTTAGATTGTATGAGCCAAAGAACACGAGCCAGACTGGAAGAGAAGGTTGGAGTGAGGATAGTGGAGGGCTTTGAATGTCCTACTTCTGGGGCCTGGTCTCAGCTTCTTTGAGGATTGTTTGCTTCTAGCTCAATGATTCTAGTTCTCTTTGATTATGCACCTCACTAGTCAACATTGCTAGTACATAACCTCAGTATGTGAAAACTAATTTTCAAATCCTATATTAATGTAGGCTACTATATGTATGTATGAGCTACATTGTCTAGGAAAGCCATGTGAAGCTTTTCTATAATAAATAATATTCTTATGACTATGAACTAACATCCACAAAAAATAAAACAGTATTCCTACCTTTTGGTTCAGACTTTCCAATAAGTGTTCTATAGGAGTTTATCTACAGAAATCACTGTTGAAATAGGCAGAGTGATTTATTAACTCTGTATAACAACTGTGTTTTGTATGATTCCATGTATAGTAAAAATCTTCCATATGTATAGAAAAAAGTTAGATACATACACATCAATACATATTTTGATTATTTGCTTTGGGGATTATGATAGATTTTCACTTTCTACTTTAAATATTTCCATAATGTTTGAGTTTTGTATAACTCTTATTATGTTTATCATCATAAAAATAATAAAAGTATTTTTAAAACTATGGTCTATGTCTTGCAATTGGTATGTGGATTCAAGTGCCCATATACATCTACACATGTAATACACACATGTATTAGGTATGGATAATTCTGACATTGCTATATAGCGTCACATCAAATGACATTTCAAAATATACATTAAGCCATGTGTTCTGGGCATATTTAGCATTATCATTAGTGACTCTGAACTAATGGAACAAAGAGCATGATCTCTATGGTGGCACAAATTTCAATTCTGTCTTGCTGGAGGGGAGGGATTAGATGATTTCTTAAGATCTCCATCCTTGTCAGCACTGTCCTAAGGACTACAGCTCATCAAGCAAGACATTTTGCTAAAGGGATTGAAAACATTCTGCAGGTCCAGCAAACCCTGGACCTTAGGAATCTTCTAGACTCGCACGCTTCAAAATTGCCAAGAGTTTATTAAAACTGTCATATAGCATTTTTTGGCCCAGTGGATCTCAAATTTTCATGTGTATGGGAATCACGGTGGAGTTTATAAAATACATGAATTCCCAGGCTCTACTTTGGATCTGCGGAATCAGAATTTCTGGAAGAAGGCTTGGAATCTGCATTTTAACAAGATCCTTGGTGATTCTGCACTAAGTAGCCCCAGAATGCACGTTAGGAAACACAACCCCTTTGGATCCAACCAATCAAGATCTGCCTTGGCAAAAAGGGTGTTGCTGGCTTAAGATGAGGAACACACAGGTAAAAGAAAGTAATATGGAGATAGCTCAAAACAATACAAGTAGATCTACCATTTGATCCAGCAATTCCACTACTGGGCATCTACCCAAAAGATCAAAAGTCACTTTATGAAAAAGACACCTGCACTTGAATGTTTATAGCAGCACAATTCACAGTTGCAAAGCTGTGGAAACAACCCAAGTGCCCATCAATTCATGAGTGGATTAATAAAATGTGGTATATGTATACCATGGAGTACTACTCAGCTTTAAGAAACAATGTGATCTAGCACCTCTTGTATATTCCTGGATAGAGCTGGAACCCATTCTACTAAGTGAAGTATCTCAAGAATGGAAAAACCAGCACCACATGTACTCACCAGCAAATTGGTATTAATGGATCAACACCTAAGTGGACATATAGGAGTAACATTTATCGCGTGTTGGGAGGGTGGGAGAGGGGAGGAGGGGATGGGTATATACAACCACAACAAGTAAGATGTGCAATGTTTGGGGGATGGACACGCTTGAAGCTCTTACTCGAGGGGAGAGGGGAGCATGAGCAATATATGTAACCTTAACACTTGTAGCCCCATAATACGCTAAAATTAAAAATTAATTAAAAAAAAAAAGAAGAACTCCTCTTGTAGGAATTTCCTTCCTAACAGATTTTGATGAGTGGATAAAAGGAGATTCTGAAGACATTGGGTAAAAATTCTTTTTTTCTTTTCCTCAGACTTTATGAGACATCTCAGTAAGAGGTCTGTTAGCTGATCATTAGAAACCAGTGCTATTGTCATCGGATGTCATCGGCACCTTTCATGTTCTTGGGACAGTCACATGATTATGTCACAGGGAATCCATTTAGCGGGGGAGGGGTGAAGTGCAGGGGTAGTTCTTCTGTAAGTAGAGGGAGAACAATGTACTTTCTTGGTGTTCTATGGATAGTTATCAATGATGTGTTTAATATTGCTACGTCACAGAGGAGACCACTGCAGCCCATTCATACACCTATTTCTGTCACTTAGGTATCACATTCTCTTAGTAAAACAACATTCATGGTTCTTTAGTTTAAAAAAGAACACATTACTTCTATGTCTTCTTAATATTTGATAGCAAATTTTATATCTGACCATAGAAATATTCTTTGTATTTAATACAATTATGTGACAAATGCAAAATAATTATATTTAATACAAAATCTTACCATCTGTGAATTTTTAAGCAGAGGATCAATCAACTACTTTTTATTACTTTCCAAGTGTAAATAACTCTCTCTTTCTGTCAACAAATACTCAGCAAGGCCCTGATTTCCCATCATGATAAAAAAAATCAACCGACTTGAAGATAGAATAATAGGAGTCAGTCCTTTATTTCCTCCCCCTGCAAAAATAATGAGTTATTTCTAATCCCCACAATAAACTGCCAATATTTCAAAATAGCATTGCTTATTTGTCCTGATTATAAAAGAACTGTGTGTTCATTTTTTAATTAAAAAAATTCAGAAAAGTATATAAAAAAGATGTCATCATTGACCTTATTATCTAGAAACCACAGATAATAATTTAGTGTGTTTTCTTTCAAATTATAAATTAACATACATGACATTACATATATTTTGGATCACAAAATATTACACAATTATGTATATACTATTATAATTTTTACTATTTTCACTTATAATACCAAGTCATGAAATATTCTTTGAAAGTGAAATTTTAAATTGGTTCTCTATTTTCCCACCATATGGAACTACTATAATTTAAGTAACTCTCTCCCATACTTGGACTCTTCAGTAGCTTCCAAATTTTTTCTAATAACAAATAGGATGAAAAATATTTTATTAGCTGGTCTTAGAGTTCTGTTTAGAGAGGAAATTGTCTTTATTCAGGAAACGACCATGATGAGCTGCTTTTAGTGGTCAAAGAATTTCAAGAAAATGAATGTCAAATCCAATTTTAAGGCGTTGGAATTGCTACAATTTAAAACAATCTCCCCCACTTCAAGCCCACATAGTAAACTGCACTCCTGTGCTTTGTGTGGGGAGTTTGTGGGAGAATTAAGAAAAGAGCTTGAGTCAGGGAGGAGTCAGGAGTGAGAGCAAGTATCCAGGGGTGACCAGAAGTGACAGCAAAATGTAAGTGACCAGGAATTTGCAGAAATACCAGAGAAGGGCACTGTGCTTCCCTAAGGAAATAGAACTAAAGGCCTGAGCCAATTTCATTTTAATTTTAAAAGGTCAAGATGACCTCAGCTGACATCTATGAAATAAATAACACTGACAAAATAACACAAAGTTGGATTTTGTTTTTTGATCTATTGGAGAGTCTTTGTCTTCTAGTAGAGAAGATTTTAACACGAACATACATGTCATGTCTTTTCATGCTTTCAGTTAAAAAAATTACTCTTCATGCTCTTAAAATAATTTGTTGTTTATTTTATTTTGCTTTAGTTATAGGGACTATACTTTGCTCTTTGTACCCTGTAGTGATTCAGAAGTCACAAGTTGACATAGGTCGGGCTTCCCAAGAAAGAGGTGGAGATTTGCATGCAGGAATTTGCTAGAAAATGCACTCAATGCACGGCATTTATAAGGGCATGAGGGACATAGGATTGGGCTGAGGGAGAAGCTGAACTGCGGTGCAGTTGCAACAGAGGCCTCAGCCAAACCTACATACATGCAGCTCTGAGATTGGGATGGCCCTTCTAGAATGTTCTAAACTGAGGTGTGGGGAGTGGAAATAAAAGGGTTGTGAAGGAAGCTAGGTACTTATTTATACTCCTGGATTGGCCAGTCATGAATCTGGGCTGTCTTTGGAGAAAGATTATGTCTTAGGAGCAGAAAGCTCCTCCAGACATGTGCAATTCCTGGGGCGGGACCAAGAAGTGAGCCTTCCGCAGGCAGCCCTCCCAGCCGCTCAGGGTTGCAGTGGGGTTTCAGACCATGAGTAGGTTAGGATGTCTATCAGAAATAACTTTGATTTATTTTAATGTGGGTGTTTTAGCTACTTGACTGGGAATTGAAGGGAATTTGGATGGAGATTTTATGGACAAGAGTCATGCAATATGGTGGCATCACTGGTGAGGTTTTTAGAACAATGGCACGACCTTCTAGATCTAGTACCTAGAAGGCAGGTTTAGATATAGTTCAAAGCAAGCTGGTTTAGATATAGTTCAAAGCAAGGGGTAACACCCTGTATGCAGTAATATGATACATTAGGACCTTTTTGAATCCTTCTAACCTCTCAAGATTCATATCCCTCAGGCTCCTGCCATTTTGTCTGGTTAATATATAAATAACCTTGCAGAGATATTATCTTTAATTCGATTCTGTCTTTCCCCCAACTGTTACGTGTGGGCACTGTTCATATCAGTGAATGTTCACTTTATATTAAATGCTTAAAAGTTAGTTTTGATACCATATGTTCTTTACTCTCTAGTTAGATAAGTAGTAATCAAAATTTCCATATATAATGTATATTTTTCCCCCTGAAGCCAATCAGCCCTAGTAGTCAAGCAGTTCTTTTACTAAGTGTCCACAAATAACATTCCTTTAGAGCTGATGACAAGAATGATGCCTGTGCAGATATTTCTTGTCTGTCCTTCGAATGCCCTTTCCTATTTCCATGTGAATGTCATTACATAAGGATTGAAGCAATTAATTAGCCAATTTGAAAATAATTCCTTCTGACAAGCTGGCCACCTTCCTTTAGCAAGAGTGTAAAATGAACAATCTAGGAGACATGTATTAAATTCACTAATTAAATTAAATGCAAAACCAAGGACTTCCAGAGACCATGTTTCTTTCGTAAAGCAAATAGACATTTTATAATTAGTAATTAGATCACAGTTATTCGTTTCATTGTAAGTAGCGCCTGACTTTGAGGGTAAATTCACAAAACAACATTAAATAGCAAAGGTACTTGTATGTTAGTGCCTGAACATGTATTTCTACCATTAGATTTTCAGAGGGCAATTTCCCCATAGATATTATCAATGAGAATTTTTTTCCTAGAGTTATAAGACTTCTCCCGTATCTTTCTAAGCCTGCGAAGAGAGAATATACTGGTGGATACATCATACATACTAATATCCTGGCCATATTGCTGGGTGTGACAAGAATGTCACTTGCCATTTCAGAAAGATGTCATCACACCGGAGGACAATTATTGCAACCTGTCCCCTCTTTAGGGGAAGCATAGTTAAGCTTGGTGATACAGTCAAGTGAGATCCTGTGTGACGGGAATTCGAGGTCACTGCAACGTTCTCTGTCCCTGGAAGCATCACTCCTTCCAGCTGCCTGTAGAATTGTCAGCCTTTCCATTTTGGCCAACGCATCTTCGCGTTCAATGAAACAGTGACGAATGGTAAACTCTGCAAGTGGGTGTTGAGTATAGAGATCTGAAAATCAGGGTGGAGGTTTGAGTCAGTGCTACCTATTTCAGAATAAAGACTTCCCAATGAAAAAGTGCAAAGTGCCCAGGGAAGCTGTCAAGGTGGTGACCCAAGGAATAAAGGAGAAGAGTGTATGACGGAAAAGCTCCGAACTGGGCAGAGAGGGAGGACACAGAAAGGAGAAAGTGGAGGCGGAAACCATGGGAGGAGAGACACTACTGCTTCTAGGTTCGTGGTCCCAAGTGGGGAGTGGGCTTAGGTCTGGCTCTGAGCCAACACCAGAAGCACCTCTCTCGTTTCCCCAAAGATGGAGCTGGGAGGGTCCAGCTCACTGGCATGGACCAAGGTATATTTCAACTTGCAGCGCCAGAGAAACCACAGGCGACAGGGCCAGATGCCATGTTGCATGTGAGGTTCAATAGGAAATAACTCAGACTGCAAAGCCAAGTTTAGAATCAGAAAAACAACTAGTTAGCAAACAGCAGCGAGGACAATCTGTCCCAGCGCTGGAGCAGAGGATCGCTCGGCTCTGACAGTGACAGGCGCCGCCCAGCACAATGCAGCTTCTGTGACCGCCCGGCCCCACGGTGGCGGACATCCAACCTCGGGCACAGGCCCCTTCATCCTGGAAGGTCCCTGTTAGGAAGCAAAGTCTGGTAAGAACGAAGAAGTGGAAGTTTAAATGCAAATCAGCGGGTGAAAAAAAAAACAAAAACGAAGAGATATCAGCAGGTCCAGACTGAAAACCCAAATATTTCCTTAATTTCAAATTCCACAGTAAGTGGAATAATATTACACAATATTGGAGAACTCTAAAATAGAGCTGGCATACAAACAGGGTATTTGCATATTTTGTTATTTAAGAGGAAGATGTGGGTGACAAAGGATTTATTGCATGCTACTTCAGCCAAAGAGTTGATTTGAATGCATGCTATCTTTTCCTACGAATTGTTGTAAGTTAGATGATAAATACATCAATATTGACATGGGGATACTCATTCGTTTGCTCCTTTAACAAATATTTATTGTTTGCCTACCTTGCTGTTGGCACAGTGCCCAGCATTAGGCATACAATGGGGACCAGGTTCCAACAGGGTCCCTGTGTTCGCAGAGCAGCACGCCCCAGCTAGGGGACACAGACCTCAGTCAAATAATCATACTGGTCATTGCCAAGCAGAAACCATCTTAAAGGATATGTTATAGTAGAGAGACTTGACTTAGAGCCATGAGAGAAGTCTTTGCTAAGAAATGGACCACTCCGGCCTGGCGAGGTGGCTCACGCCTGTAATCCTAGCACTCTGGGAGGCCGAGGCGGGAGGATCACTCAAGGTCAGGAGTTCAAAACCAGCCTGAGCAAGAGTGAGACCCTGTCTCTATTAAAAATAGAAATAAATCAATTGACCAACTAGAAAAATATAGAAAAAATTAGCTGTGAATGGTGGTACACACCTGTAGTCCCAGCTACTCAGGGGACTTAGGCAGAAGGATCACCTGAACCCAGGAGTTTGAGGTTGCTGTGAGCTAGGCTGATGCCATGGTACTCTAGCCCGGGCAACAGAGTGAGACTCTATCTCAAAAAAAACAAAAAAAAAAGAAAAGAAAAGAAAAAGAAATGGACCATTCCAAATAGAATGAACACCGTGAGCAGAGGCCCTGTGGCATGAGGAAGCATGACCTAAAAGGTCACCATGGGCATTTGTCTGAAGAAGTAGCAGGATAAAGATAAAGGGTCATCTTCCTCTCAGAGAAATGGAAGCTCTGGAAGGGTTTTAGCAGAAGAGCTACATTCTCAGAATTATGTTTCCAAAAATAATTATTCTGGCTTCTGCGTGGAGGAGAAAGGTCAAGTGTAGTTACAGGAAGATCAGTGCAGCGATCTAGGCTGTTGCAAGCAGAGGCCACTGAAGTCATGGTGACAGGCAGCGACGGTCGCATGGGTCAGGGTGGAGATGCATTTGCAAAGTGTTTAGGAGACCAAATCCACAAGACCAGGTATATCATCAGTAAGAGGGCGAGAGAGAGAGAGAGAGAGAGGCCGAGGGTGAGTCCAGGATATCTGGCTTACAGAGCAGGAAGCATGGTGGTGTCTTTTGCTGAAATAAGAGAAAACAGAAGAGGAGCACGGTTTGGAGGATGGGAAGATACAGAATTTAGCTTTGACACTCTTGCTATGCCTTTGTGACATCTGCGTGGAGAAGACAACTGGCAGGTGGACAAATGGGTCGGAGACACTGATAGAACGTCTGGTCTACAGGTATGTACCTGCGAGTCACCTGTGCAAGCTCATCATTGCTAAGAATCGCCAGGAAGAGCATACAGAGTGAAAAAAAAAAAAAAAAAGGGAGGGCTTGGCACTGCATGTTGGATATTTGATGGCCAGCTTTGTGCAAAGGAAAGGGAGTATCCAGAGAGGTGGGGGTGAGACAGGGAGAGTCCTGCTGCCACAGCCCAGGAAGGACAGCATTCCAAGCAAGGAGGGCGTGATCGCCAGCGTCAAAGCAGTGCTGTGCGGTCGAGCCAGATGAGGACAGTGAAGGGCCCATAGAATCTGCGCAAATGAAGGTTCTGGGAGCTTAGCAAGATGAATTTCAGTGGGGGACTGAGTGACGTCAGGAGGGCTGGGGAATAGGCGGGGAAGTGAGGATGGACGACGAGGATGGACAACTCTAGTGCTCTGTGAGCTAGGGTGGCTGAATGGGCTCAGAGGCTGAGCATGTGGGCCCTTAGGCATGAACAGAAGGAGCTGCTGAGAGACTGTACCTGAAAGAGAAGAGTCACTAGCGAGGGCAAGGAGAGGAGAGGGGAGGAGAGACGTCTGCAGCCCAAATGTTTGGCCCCAGACGGTCAAAGAGCCCTCCTGTTCCAGCTTCCATGCTCTTTGCGTGGCAGCAGGCAAGGTTTCTGCAGAGACTGAGGAGGGGAGGACCAGTGTGTGCGTGTTTGTGTGTGTGTGCAAGCGTGCAGCTGTCACCAAAGGAGGCGAGAAGCTCTGCAGCAGTTTTTGTGGAAAGAAGAGTGAGTTCATCACAAAGTGCATTCAGAGGATCCACCTAAGATTGGTTTTTATGCATGTGCAGTAAAACCCATCTGCCCCATTGTATGCCTTTCTTCAGAAAGGTTCAGCTGCCGGGGGCTGGAATGTAAATATAATATTAATAGTTGGGTTCATTAGGGCTGAGATTTTGCCAGAAGAGGAAAACAAAAAGAGGTCAAAGGACAAGGGAATAGAGAGTGGTGGCAGAGGGTTATGAAACTGCTGAACTCTGAGCTCTGAGAGACGAGGAGGGACAAGACGACAGGACAAGGTCAAGGCGCTGGGAGGCTGAGGGTGGAGCAACGAGCCCAATGTCCTGAGGCTCAGGCAGGATCTCTCTGGGGACCGCTGAGCCAGCCAGGGCAAGGGGAAGAAGTGGCCCTCAGAGAACGTCTGCATCGGGATTCTGAGGGTGGGGAGCCCGGAGTGACGGCAAGACCCAAGGCGCGTGCCCTGGGCTAGATGACCGAGAACTTGAGAGAGGCCCTTCTGTGCAGCAAATTGTCCTGTGTTCGTTGCCATTACTGGGCATCAGGCCAGATGCTAAGACTTTGACAAACGACAGGGAAGGGAGTGACCAGGAATTGGCCGGAAGACAATGACATGAAGGGGTGGCAGAGCTGAAAATCACGAAGCTCAAAAAAACCGGGATTTTTTGCAAGAGGAAACAAGAGCCATGGATGGAAGCAGACAAGTGACAAGGAGGCTGGCGGTCCCCCTCCCGGTGCCGAGGTGTGCAAGGGAAAGGCAGCTGGGGGGCAAGCAGGGGTGTCCCCTGGGAAGAGGCAGCTTTCAGTCGAGGCCAGATGCATGCAAGATGGAGGAGCCGGGAAAGTTCTTCCGGTGTCAGAGGGGAAGGGGCAGGGCGGCTGGGCGGGCCCGGAAGTGCGGAGCATTATTGTCATAAACACAGACAGGAGAGAGGACACCGTGGCTCCCCTTATCCACGGGGCATGTTCCAAGACCCCCAGTGGATGCCTGAACCTGTGGATAGTTCCAAACTCTACATGTATTTGTTCCTGTGCATACTTAGCTGTGATGACGTTTAATCTATAAATTAAGCACCGTAAGAGATGAACAACAATAATAATAAAACAGAACAATTATAAAAACATGCAGTAATAAAAGTTATGTGCATGTGGTCTCTCAAAATATCCTATTGTACTGTTCTCACCCCTCTCCTTGTGACAACGAAAGATGATACAAGCCAACCAATGACATGCAATGAGGTGAATGATGTAGGCAGGGAGATGTACATTCGCTACTCTTGACCTTCTGATGATGGGAAGCAGGTGATCCTGGATCCAGGACCCATGACGACGTTGAGAGCCGGTGTCAGGAGCAGACCCTGCCAGTGACAGATGGGTGGCGATGTCCACAGCGTGGAGGTGCTGGACGAAGGGAGGGTTCACGCCCTGGGTGGGACAGAGTGACATGGTGAGGTTTCATCATGCCACTCAGAATGGTGCCCAGTTGAAAACGTATCCATTGTTTATTTCTGGAATTTTCCATTTAGTATTTTTGGGCCGTGGCTGACCACGGGTAACTGACAACACAGAAAGCAAAACCGAGGATTAGGGGGGACTGTTATACTATAAAGTGCAGACCAGGAAGAGGGGAAATGCTTTTTTTAATCAAAATGGAATGAGGAAAAAGAAACTAATAGTCACTCATCTCTACCAATATTTAGCCAAATTAAACCAAGAAGATCAGGACCCCCAAGTAGTTCTCTGACCTCCAAGCAAAAGGGACTCAGAATTTAAAGAATTTGCTCAAACTAGGGTTTGAAGTCCATTTTAAACAATTCTCTGAACATTTAACTTCAAATATTTATTTCACATCTTAAAAAGCTTGTTTGTACCCTAGTGAAAGAAGAGAACAAAAATATACGAGCTTGCCAATGAAAGATACTAATTTAATCACCACTTGGCTTTCTCCTCTTCAAACTGAACAATCTTAATCCCTCCCTCTTTTGCAGAGGTCTTATTTACTAATCCTGGTCGACTTTAGGAATAGGATGCTCTCCAAGTTCTCCATGTCCCTTAACTTTGGAACTCAGGAATGGACACGTGCCCCTGGAAAAGTTTGACTAATACCGGGTATAAAGAGAGGTGATCTCACTTTTCTCTGGGCACTTTTTTTTTTCAGACAGAGTCTCACTGTTGCCTGGGCTAGAGTGCCCTGGCGTCAGCCTAGCTCACAGCAACCTCAAACTCCTGGGCTCAAGTGATCCTCCTGCCTCAGCCTCCCGAGTAGCTGGGACTACAGGCACGCGCCACCATGTCTGGGCACTTGTTTTTGCATCGCCATACTGTGCAACTTTTTAAAAGCCGATGTTATGACCGGCTCCAGCTTATCTATTTTCACTGCTGGCTCCTTTTTAAACATACTTGCCTGCAGCCAGTCCCATCTCATCTTCTATTCATGTCCTTCCCTCTCCTGAAGGTACTACTACCCTGCATTTATCTTCAGGGAACTTTAAAAAGCATCATCCAACTGCTTTTCTAATTTAGTAGGGTTATTTTAAAGTTTGCTCTCCACCAGCAGGCTGAGGCTGGCAGTCCCCTCCTCCAGAGAGGCAGTGACTAATGTGGTCTAGGTTTCCTTCATGCCACTGCTGTGTTTGGGGACAGCTGTTTGCAGACATTTCCGCCTGGATCGTTACCTGCTACTCCTGGGGCTTCTCTGTGCTGGGCATGCTGCTGTGGAGCTCAGGCCTTGCTCGGTTTCATCCTTGAGCCTGTGGCTTTTATCAGTGTTAAGAAAATCAACTCCCTAATGTTTCAAACCTTAAGTCTAACATTTATAGACATTAATGTTGAAGACGGCTATTTCTCAATTAATATGTGCAGACAACAAGGACCTAATCTTTTAGATCCCAAATCAGCACCTTGATCATTATTATTATTTTTTTAGGTTCTTGTATATATTGTGTAGCTCAGGATCTAAGTTGCCCTCCAGGCGCCTGTGAGCCTGGGAGACGTCTGGTCCTAATTTTTAACCCAACCATTGAAGAGGACAAGAGCATCATTAAACAGTGAAAGAGTGAATGTAGAGTCAGAAGATTCTGGAAAGGATACACCTCAGCAGGTATAAATCCTCCCTCAAGCCAGAACTAATCTTCTTCTGTCCAAGTTCCAAAGCCTTATACTTGATCTGTCTTCCTTTGCTCAGTCCTCAAGATTTCTCTGTAAATGTTGTTATAAATTTGCATCTAAAAATTGTTTCCCCTGTGAAACTGCAGGCCCACTGAGAGAAGTTCCGGATGGTGACTAACTTATTTCTCTTTCACTCATACTGTATGTTACATAGTCTCTTACAACAGCCAGTGCTCCACAAATGTTTGTTGACTGAATGAATAATGGAAGGGCACATATAGCTTAGGAGAGTTCAGTCTTAACTTGGATTTTTGTTTTGGCAAAATCGTTTGATTTTTAATCAAACCCTTTCTTTTTTTCTGATTTGAAATTTTAATTGATTTAAATGATAAAAAAATGAAAATAATCAGTTTGAAATCTAGAAATAAAGATGTTTTGGTAGAAAACAATTTTCTTTGAAAGGCTCTCAAATCCATTTTCATAAGTGGATGTAAAAGAAAGTTACATATCTACCTGCCTCTTTGAGTTCTGGACAAAATGTTTGTCAATGTCCAATAGGCCAACTCCAAAAATTCCCTATAATACCAAATCGGTGAGAACAATATCTCTAGATCCTATTACACAATTTTAAATGATGTGATTATGCAGAAAAATCATATAGAAGGAAGTATTTCTGGATAAAGCACATCTTAAAAAATGAACTGTCTTGTCTCTCTTCCACAAAAATAAAATGTTAAAAAAAAATGAGCAAGACAATTTGGGAAAAGTTAGATTGAATTAAACATGTAAATATGACACTTTTTTCTACTGTCATGATACATGCAGAATTATCTAGACCAGGCTAAGAAAGCTGTTGTTTGCAATAATGATTATTAACAGATACTACTAGTTCCTCTTAATAAATAACCCTTCATGTATCAGATGGTCTAATGCATTGTGTCCAAAAGGATGTAATAGAATCACAGGACTATTCATGTTGACAGCTTAGCATTTTCTCTATAGAATTTATAAAATGTCTTAGCTAATACAAAATGAATCTGCGACATTTTAATGCAAAAAAAAGGGCAACAATAAAAGGTAATAATCGCTCAGCTACCTATTTTAATATAGTTTACCATATTACCTAAAGGTCAGCCTCGATGTTGATATCTTTCATGTTATGTGGAATGCAGGATAAATAAATGCAGAAGAAGAAATAGCGATAATGTGAGCCATGACCTTCTGCAGCACCTCCCACCTGCCTCCTTCTACATACGAGCTCACCAGGACACAGTCGTGAGCGTCTCCAGCCAAACACAGGAGGAAGGTAATAGTCCAAGCCCATTGCCTAGTGGGGTCCACAGTGATTTCTACAGTTACAGACCTGACGTGTCTAGAAAGAAATTTGGAAACAGATTGCCCACTGAGTTGCAAAACACCTCTATCCCATGAAGAGCTGGACCAGCTTAAAGAACATCAACACTATCAAACAAAATATAAACCTTTCCCCAATATTAAATATAACTACTATCACGTATTGACATCTTACTCTGTGTTAGGCATTATGCTAAATGCTTTATGTATAATATCTCATTTAAGTCTTCACCATTAATAAAATGGGCATTATGATTCCCATTTTATAGATGAAGAAACATGGAATTGAGGAGGATGAAATGACTTACTTAAGACTGCCCAGCCAGAAAGTGGTGGTTCTGGGATTGTAAACAAGATCTACCTGCTTCCCAAGCCTGGCCCATGGGTATCCCATAAAGAAGATAGGGCCTGCACTGTGGTCCTTTTGTATTAAATCCCTGACTCCAACCCCAAACTGCTTGGCAGAAAATTTCAGATCCTGCTCAGTTCTACCAGCCCCTTTATCTTTTCCTGAAATGTGTTTGTTGGGGGGGGGGGAGAGAATTATACTGCAAGATATCTTCAGAGGAATGGGTTCTGGGAGCAAACTTGGGAGATGTTACAATGAAAATTCTCCTCTTGGAGATTTACATTATATAGCAGCATCTTACAGGTTCAGGGAAGTCTTGCATTAAGGAAACACCAACTCAGTGTTTCCCACACTGATTTGAATACAGAAACCTTTCTGTTCCATAAAATATATTAATGACCCGTGAAATTTTTATTCTGCAGAACACATCTTGGAACATGGTGACTTAGAGCATTTCCTGAGCTTTTGTTTTTGGACTGCTGCTGCTATATTCCAACAGTTCTTGTTCTTGCATCTTTTTGGATATCACACTGCTTGAATCAAGCTGGAGGTTGCTCCGTCTCTTTGGACACAAGGTCTGCTCTCTCTAAGAGGGTCAAGTCTCAGCTCCAAACTCATCCAGACCCTGTATCTTTCACCACCCCTGTGACTCCATGTTGCCTGGGTCCCAGCTACACCAAGAATAAAGTCATCTAAGTTACAACAAACACAAATGTCAAGAGAAAAGAGAAAATAAGGGAAAGATGACAGGGCAAAGGAAAATAGAATGAAAACAGGTGATTCAATTTTCCTGATTGAAAACTCAACAATCATTTCCTTAGTGACATATGAGAATGTATGTGTAAACTTTCTTATTTTGGAGCCATTCCCAAAAGACTTAATTATGTTTTTGTGTACAGAATTGCAAACTCAGAATGGGAACAATTCTGTCTTCCATAACAGGGATGTCATTCAAAGAAATAAGTTCTATCATCCAGTTACATGGAGCACCAATTTTCTGTAAAGAGAGTAATTAGTTCATTTATTCATTCAACAAATATTTACTGAGCACTTACTAAATGCTAGGTTTTTCTATGTACTTAAACAAATAGGTTAAACATACTGTGTGTTAAAAGATAATAAGTGTTACTTGGAGACTTTCTGTTTTAAAAAAAAAAAAGAAAAAAAAAAGATAATAAGTGTTATAGAAAAATAGAGTAGAAAATCTGATTAGGCATGATCTCTTTTAGGGGAAAGGTACAAATCACACTGGTAAAGTGGTAAGATCAGAGAAGGTGAAATGTGAGCAAAGATTTGAAGGAATTGAGGAATCGAATATTTGGTGTATTTTTATAGCCACGACTTTCTTTTTTATCTCCTCCACTGTTCTCTTTTCTTCCTCCTATTCTTTTTTTTTTTTTGCCTCAACTTTTTTGCCTCTGATTCTTTTAAAGTAAGTATTTTTAAATGCCTTGTTTTTTAAAACATATGTATTCAAATGATTTAGAAAAGTATAAATAAGAAAGAATGAGAAGTGATCTTACAAATGAGAAGACTTGTGCTTTTCATGTTGATTTCCCATGTTATAAGCAGCAAAAATTTGTTATATAACTTATTTAAAATAATAAGTTGTTAAAACTTGTTTATTTTTCTGGTTATGAATATTTTATAAGCATTTCTCTGGTCAACATATAATGTGTATTTATTTCAAATGATAAAATCAGTTAAAAATTCTGTAACAAATATTTCTATTACAAATTTGTCATCATTTCTCAGAAGAATAAAAACAAATGCATTAGTCTAAGGTTACTCTTCAAAATAGTTTATGTTTTTGACATGGTAAATAATAAAAAGTAACACTGAATGAGTGACTATCATGCGCCAGGTACATGCAAAATTTATACTGCTTGATCCTTACAAATCTGCAAAGCAGATATGGTTACTCTCTTTTACAGATGAGGAAACAGGATCAGAGATGTGAAATGCTGTGTCCAAAGTTACAGCTTTATTCGGTGTAAGAGCCAGAATTCAATATTAAGTGTTCCCTCATTTAGGGTCTGTGTATTTGAACAGTATGTTGCTCTGACCCTCTGTCAAGTTCATCGTACATGGCCTATGATTGTTTATTTGTCGACAATTCTTTGAAGATAAATCATCTTCTTTTAAATTAAAAAAAGAAAAATCATTTTCACTTCCTTTAAATTACAAAAAGACAAATCATGTAAGGGTTTACAAGCTACATAGGCAGGATTTTTTTTTTCCTTCTGGAAAAAAGCAGCCCTGAAAACAAGTGATGGATATTAGATAGTAGGTCTTGTTTTCTAAAATTTAATACTGGTGCAACAATTTTTTTTTTAGACAAACCATTGCTCCTTACAAAGATAAAGGTAGAAAGATACCTAGAAAAAAAATCACCCTAGTGCACAATCTCAGTTTCTTCCACGAAGAGACTAGATCTGGAAAGATTAGTATGTCACCAAATAAAAGAAAGTAGAAGAAAAATGGAGTAATTAAGAATCACATCTCTGGTTCCATATAACACAACCACACTACAGTCTGCTATTGGCAGGAATATACTATCATTTACTGCCACAGATTATCACTTGACACAAGGTACTTTATAGAATTATATTAGAAAACAAGTTTAAAAAGGAGGAATCCTGTGATTCACATATTGGAAAAATCTTGAGTATGCGTAAGGTAGCTCATCCTCTAGATTAAGTTGTTGATGTGTTTTTGTGAAATGTATATGAACTGTGTTTCCCTTCTGATAAGATCCCATCTCTCTCTGTCTCTTTCTTTCTTTCTCTCAGAATTAGAGAAGTGATTTGGATTTGAGGTTCTCCACTGTGGTGTAACTGGTCAGAGGGGATGTGAATGTAGTCTGTGGGCAATAAAATCAGGATATTCACTTGCAAGAAATAAAGTCAAAATGATATTAGTGAAAAAACACATACATTTTTACACCTGTCCCAGCATGTCCCAGCTCTGTAGGCATTCAGATCTCTTAACTCGGGGAGCGCTTACATGTTCATGGCTTGCTGTATGTATGTGCTGCAGGACAGGTGCCATGTGGTAGAACAGCTAGGAGTGGTACAGCCCCACTCACCCAGGCAACGATGGGCAGAGGCAGCAAGTACTTCCTGCCTATAGGCACCAAAGCACGTCTACCTATGAGAAAAGATATAGCCAGAGAAATGAAAAGATCTTTTCCCCAAATTTCTTCTACTCTGAGCAGAGTAAGGGCTACACATGATGAGACCAAAGGAAGGCATCCATCACAGGTGTTACACACATGTAAAAATACAGTGTGTACGTAAATAGAGATTTATTACAAAGAATTGGCTCACGTGATTATGGAGGCTGAGAAGTCCCAAGATCTGCACGTGACAAGCTGGAGACCCAGGAGAGACAATGGCAGAGTCCTCATCCAAGCCCTGAGCCCTGAGAACCGAGAGAGCTGGTTGTGCAAGTTCTGGTCTGAAAGTCCACAGGCTTGAGACTCAAGAAGAGCCAGTGTTTCAGCTTGAGTTGGAAGGCAGGAAATGACCCAGGTGCCAACTCAAGCAGTAGAAAGGGGGAATCTCTCTCATTCAGCCTTTTTGTTCCATTCAGGTCTTCAATTGATTGGGTGGAGTCCATCTGTTAGTTGCATTCAGAAACACCCTCCAGACACACCCAGAATGTTTGACCAAATGTCTGGGCACCATATAGCCCAGTCAAGTGGATACATAGTATTAACCATCACACATGTATGCTGGGGAGCCAGCTAACACATGGCTGGAAAAGATGGTTTTGGGGTTGATATAAACATGATAAATTTTAAATTCTCGACCTAAGGGGATCTAAAAATTAATTAGCATTGCTTAACTATAGCTATTTCATCAGTCTACCTGCTAGTTCCTCTAATCAGAGAAATTTCCAAGGAGTTTAGATGGGCTTTATACTCACATCATTTAAATATTAGATAAACTCAAGTTGATGACTTTCATGTCTTCTGGAAGATGCACCATCCATTTTCTTTCCTCCTCCCTCCTGGATTTGACAGTCTCCTTTCTTGCTCACCTCTCTCATTTTCCCCATTCCTTTTGTTCTGAATACTTTGTTTACAATAACACAGATAGAGCAGTCTTTGAGTTAAGTGCAATATCAAATGAAATTTCTTTCATAGCATTGTACTTTCAAAGAATAAGTTTGTCCTGCAAATGCTGAATTTTTTATTTTTCCAATAACTATTAAATGTAAAAATGGTTAGTGTTACATATAAAAACAACAAATGCTCTTACTGCAAACCCCTTACAATGGAATGAATAATCCATTTAAGAGGGGGGGGATTAGAATCTCTGCAAACAGAAGAATGCAGTTGCCATAATTTTTCCTTCACTCTTGCTTACTGTACCCAATTTTCTCAAACTTCCATTGATTGATGTCACTCCAGTGACTGTCACAGAAGAAAACTGTAATTTTCCTAAGCCTGCTTAAGCACCTCTAGCCTTGACTAACACTTCAGGGAGAAATTCTGATTTTTCTAGGAATAATAGGTAACTAGTTTCAAGGTTTGCCAATAACTGCAATATATTAATATGTCAAACAATGTATATCTGTGATTATGTTGTGTTAGTGTGCCACTATATAATTAGCAATTTTTAGGTCACTATAATATTCAAAAGAGCACATATTTTGATAATGTACTGCATTACACGGCCTACAGAATACTGTAATTCTTAAGGAGACACTTGCCTCTGAGTGTTTTGAAAATTTATACAGTGGAAAGTCGGCTCATCTGGTTTCTCAGCTGCAAACCACTTGACAAATCCAGAGTGAATTTTAAAAATGCCACCCCTGTTATGGGAAGAGCCTGCTCTAGTGCCAGATTCCGCTGGTGGAGGGCTGTTTTTCGCAGCTTGAATATCAATTCTGGAAAAATATCCAACAGAAAGCAGAAATATTAGACAAAGGAGAAGACTGTAAATCCGAGGATATTATTTCCCTTAACTGCAGTGGTTTTTCCCTCATGATTGTCTGAACCCAAACTTTTCAGACTTGTCCATTTTAGAAATGTTGCTTTTACTGTTTTTAACTTGAAAACATTTTACGCTGTGCATGATTATTAACTCACGATTTAGCTGAGTGTTAATCAGAAAAAAAAAAAAGGTCAAGTATAATGTGTATATATTTAAGCCAATTTACAAATCAAGGTAAATACTTGTTCTTTGTTTCCACTAGAATATAGAATTTTCTGTGACATTTCCATGGGAATTGAAAATACACAGTAGGTGTGAATGCATGAGGCCAGAATCTACAACTGACCTCACACCCAGCTTATTGGGAGAGTTAGAGACCCTAAGGCCAGGGTGTCCAAGAGAATATAGCAAGAGACACCTATATAATTTCTAATTTCCTAGTAGCCACATTAACAAAGGCAAAAAGAAACAATTGAGATTAATTTTAACAATATATTTGCTTTAACCCAATATATCTAAAATACATGATTTCAACACGTAATCAATATGAAAATTATTAATAATATGTTTTACATTCTTTTTCTTTGCACAATGTCTTTAAAACTCAGTGTGTATATTATGCATACAGCACAGCTCAATTTGGACCAGCCACATTTCAGGTGCTCTGTAGGCACATGTGGCTGGTAGATGCCATCTTGGACAGCACACCTATAGGTAGACCTGCCGTGGATTGGATGCCATCCGCTTCTTAGACTTTTGGAAGACAAATGAAGTTTTTGGATTTTTTTAATGGAAACCTTTTAGTGATGCATAAAAATATAGAAAAGTGCATAAGTCATACATGCATTTTGGTAAGTTTTCAGGAAGATCATAGCTGCTGAACTTGAACCCAGATCATAAGGTGGATCATTAATAGAGCCCCCCCTCCCCCCAGCCCCAGCTCCCTTCTGGTCCTCTTGGATTTTCTTTTAATATCACAAATATCAGGACCTTGTTTTTCTTGCTTCCCACTTTCCAAAGCAGATTCACTTATATGACCAGGAAGGGGATGCTTTAGACCCATTGGAAGCCAATCCTTTGGTGCTCAGGGCCATTTTATCCCTGGTCATGAGCCTGCATTTTGGATCCTCACATATATGGGGTCATGCCTGGACAGGCAGACTGGGAAAGAAGGCAATCCCTGACTACTTAAAAGCTAGGTGCATCTTTATTTATCCCGGCTCTCAGTCCTCTGGAACGCCACATCTGCACAAGATTTCTGACACTAGCTGCAAGTTCAGGGGTCTCCAGGGCTACCCTCACTTCAGACTAGCTGGCTACAAATTTGGGGGTTCAGGGTTCCTTAACCTTTTCCTAGTGATTTAAGTTTGCTAAGTACTTCATATGCCTTATCCCTAGGGGTGTTAAAGTCATAGCAGGAAAAGAATATAAATAAATAATTCAAAAATTGAGTGGCAATTAACAGAACAAAAAGATTATTCAACTTATTTAAGAATTAAATGTGCTAGCATTCATTTTTCTAGCACAACAGAGGCCTCGTTTACATAACAATTGATATGCTAATTAAGATTTATCTAGAAAATCTGCTATGGAACAATACTTTGCTAATATATTTCAACATATTTTATGAGTTTGAAAGTTTAAAATGTGATAGACAGGTTTTTGAGTGTTTTTTTTTTTTTTAAACTCAAACAGTGTGACATAAAAAAATTAAGGTCAAGCAGACAGTTTCTTCTCAAAAAGGAAGATATTTTCTATTAAGCAGAATATTTGCCCTTTTCCCTTCCAAATGAGTAGAAATTCTATCATGTCCTTTTTTGAGACTGTATAAAAATTATATATGTCTATATATTTTATATTTGGTCCTCTGTATATAATGTACCTTGTTTCCTCTGGCTGCTTTCAAAATTTCTATCATATATTTTTGGCAGTTTGGTTATGATGTGTCTTAGTGTATTTTTCTTTGTTCTTATTGTGATTGGGATTTGTTAGACCCCACACGCCAATAATTTGTGGAAACTAAACTTAACTATACCCCAAACAATCTGCTGTGGAACCAGACCCATGCAGGGTGTCCTGGCCCTCCGAACAAGGAGGGTCTCCTAAATGCAGGTCCTGGGGACCCTCCATGGATCAGGATGGGAATCTCCACGTCATTGGAAAGGCTTGAGCCCAGACTTCCTTTCCTAGCAGTAAGCATGTATCAGTCATGACCTAGCCAAAATCTCCAGCCCAATTTGGCTAAGAAAGCCCAAAAGAGATTAGACCCAGGAACCTGGCCTCGACAGTTCCACGTGCTATAGGATTACCTTACAACCCACCGTAGCAGGTGAAGGAAAGAGCTCGCAGAACCATTTCCTCTGCTGTCCACTCTCTGGCTTTCTCTGGGGAGCCCCTCTACCACGTTATACTCGATATAGTTTATTCCGGTGATTTTGAACTGGGTTGTATTTAGATCAGCCCAGTTACTCTCAGTTCACGGGATCCTTCTCTAAGCAGGCATAATTACTCAGCTGTGGTTTTTTTTTAAGACATACTAAATGTCAAGAGCCAACGTAGGGGAATCATGTCATGTTAAGGCATTGCAGGGACAGCAGTCTGCATTGCCTATGCAGCAGCATGGGTGACACCTTCCATGCACAAGGACGGGGCGGGTGGGGGGGGGAGGCCATCCTGAGGCTTCCTGCACAGAATGGGATGTTGTCCCAAGGTAATATGTTGTCTCATCTGTTATCACTCTTTTTCTTCAATTGGGATGTCATCCATTTTCTCTTAAACCTCACATCCTCTAGCATATACAGGTTGATATTTCCATAATGCAAATTATGGAAACTGAGTTCAGAGTCAAAAGAACATAAAAACTAGCCTAAGGACTAAACGACTGCTGCTTCTGCACCTAATGCACTAAGTTAAGCTGATTTTAAAGGCCTGGAGTCAAGTACACAATGAGCATTATTTACTCTGAAACTATCATTCAGGCTTTCAAGTGATCTTTTCCGTCGTGTGGCTGCCTCTTGTGCGTGGAGACCTTACCTTACACTGTGGTGCTCACTCGCGTTGCCCACCTGCATAGCCAACAGGGCTCCCCACTGTTCCACGACGATTTGCAGAACACTGTCAGTCTCTGCAGCCATTAATTTTTTTTCTCCCCTGGTACGAGAAAACAAACACACTGAAATGGTGCCAAGATTTCACTTCAACCATAACATAAGATGAGGAGGATTTACAGGCAGAGAAATCCCTTGAACAGCAGCCAAAGAAGCAGATAAGTTTTTTTCCTACTGTGTGAGAATTTAATAAGGAGAATTTTACATGTAGGTGAAGATGAGCAGGGCTTGGACAGGCCATAGGGCCCAGAAGTCTTTTACCTATAGCCAAAGAGCTCATGTTGGGAGGGGGGGCGCTGAATGGGAATCTTACAGGCTGGCGAGATTCCATCTTCTTTTAGCAGTTGGTCCCAATATTTTGAAGAATTTATAGGTTTTTGGGATCGGAGTTCAAATGTCATCAGCTGATTATCTGGTATGATGGCATTTCTCCTATTGTTCTGGCTCCATGCCCAAGTGGTATTTGGGGATTTATTGACCACATCTGCGTTCCTTTTAGCCACAGTGCTGATGGTTTTAAAGAAGCAGCAGTTATTCATCTTAGTTTCAGATGGAAGAGCCTTGGTTCTTCAGTCCTCACTTAGTCCAATCTTACCTGTCCCCCAGGAACACTCTAGCTGTTCCCCTTCTTGAGCCATGGACTGTAGGACTGCAGGGCGTACTTGGTGGAGTGCGGGAGCTGCTTCATACAGGCCCATGGAGGCTGAAGATGCACATCATTTCCCAGTTCCACGCTCAGTGACATCACGCTGGTAGCTTGAAGTTAGCCAGGAAAGGAGTCTTTACACCACAGGAATCAGCATATACCACAAATCAGGGCATTTCTCCCTGGAGATCCTATTGTTAAAAATTTACTAGCACACTCTTAATATAACTCTGTAGTTTTATGTGAGCGTTGTGGGTTTCAATCCTGACATCTCTATTTACAAGCTGAGCTACTCTGGTCAAGTGACCTTTACCTCTTGGAGCCTCTTTTCAGCATTTGTAGAATGGGGATAATCACATCCGCTTGAACTTTTAAATAACACGGCCATCTGTAGTTGAGAGAAACAGCAACTATTTACAGTACGTGTTGTCAAACTATGTATGCTGAAGCTCTAGAAATGGTGAAAGGTTACCATACTGCTTATGGTTTTCCTTACAGGCTAACACTGAAACAAACGTTACATGAAACAGAAGTCTTATGTTTTTATTATCTTCGACCAATTTCAACTGATTTACAACCATCAACCATATGACTAATTCAACTTGAATGGAAATGAATTAAAAGAATACATTAAAAGGAACATATTAGGATAAATTACCTAATTCTTGTGGTTATATCCCCTCACTTGAAGCAAATTTAGATTTGAAAAGTAGATAAATAATAGAGAATTGCTTTTTTTACTGAAGAGGTATCTTAGTTCAGGTTGTTACAGAAAATACCACAAGTGGCTTAAACAACACACATTTATTTCTCACGGGTTTGGAGGCTGGGAAGTCCAAGATCAAGGTGCAGGCAGGTTTGGTGTCTGGTGAGGGCCCACTTCATGTGCACATGGTTGCCTTCTCAATGTACCCTCCCATGGCAGAGAGAGAGGGAGATCGCATGTCTCCTCCTCTTTTCATAAGGGCAATAATCACATCATGAAGGCCCTACCCGATGACCTAATATAACCCTGATCACCTTCCAAAGGCGCCATCTCCAAATACCATCCCATGGGGGATTAGAGTTTCTACATATGAATTTGGGGGGAGGGACGCAAACATTCAGTCCATAGAAAGGCTTCTTATCTTTTTCATTATAAAGTGATTCATTCTCAGATTTCTCAAAATAGTAATTGCTCTTAATGTTCTCAAAGCATAATTAGATTTCAAAAATTCTTTCCAAAAACATTTTCTGGAACATATCTACTGAATCAAATGAGGTTTGTTATGCTAAGACTCTCAAGTTGCTAACTAGGGGGAGTTGATACTATGATGTGGTTTAATTAGTTTCCAACACTAACAGCACCAAAGTGCTTGTGGGTGGTGCGTGAGGGTGTCAGTACCCGGGAACACGACTGTAAAACATAGAAGGTGGGGAGACAAAATGTCTTCTGGCCATGGAAATAGCTGCCTTGACTGGGACGCAGTCCAGGGAAGAAGGAAGCGGAGTCTGAAGGTCAGTAATAATTCAGATGCAAAACAAGTGTTTTCTGCTGTAGGGTAGGAAAATCCATCGAGATTTCTCACCTGCCTTAGCCTTAGTTTGCATTCATCTACAATTTTAACTATAACATTGTAAATTAACATAAATTACCATAGTCGATTTGCTGCTCAAATACCTCAGTATCAGGAAAGAAGGCTGACTGATTTAGAAAGGATGGGACTAACTCTCATTATACATTGTA